ATCTAGATTAAAGTTATAGTTCATACTATGCACATAACCACATTACTTTAAACTATTGACAATAATTTAAAATGGCCTTATGCCAAATAATATTATACTGTTTTTAGTTTTAAAAATGTGAAATTTGCTTGAGTTGTCATGGCTACTCATATCAAGTGGTTGGCATCATCCATCACAATCATGGACTGGGCAGTTTGATATAATTTTGTTTTTCCAATCGCTGCTGTAAGCTACCTAAATAATATCACTGCTCTCAGACAGTAAACTCATTTTGATCTTTGAGTGAGGATAATTATTTTCATCCCGGGTTGAGAGAGGATGTAACCGAGCTGACAGTTTGTTTACACTCCCGTGAATCTAGTTTGCGTGTTAATTACCGTGTCTAATCATGTTTTCTAGTTTGACTATTGCTTTGAATTAAGACTTTAAAGGCCAATGTGTCAAATGCTTCTAATAGACATGTGTACAGCTGTGGTAAAACCTGACCTTTAAGAATCCACTCCTTAAGGTGCTGCTTATAAGACTGACTTTGTTGCAGCTCATCAGACTGAAGAAGTCTTTTGGATAAAAGACTAAACGTTTCCTGACTCAACCTTGTTACAATTATCTATCAGGACAATCCACACCTCTGTTTACATAATCTGTTTGTTTCAGGCACTTTTATCTTCCTTATACAGAGGAAACCAAGTGAGGCAGGGAGGAATGAGCAGGCTGATTTGTCATTTGTCTAAGTGACTTGACAGGCATCGCTGGTATTGATGAGAAGTCAAGCAATCCCTGTGTGGGTAATTTGATACAGATCCCAGCCCAGCTGTGCTGAAAGGCCTGAGAACTGAGCTCAGAGCCAAGGTTTGCTTGTGGCTTATAAGTACTGACAAACAGTACTGTAAAAGCAGCTGCCATGGTAATTTAACATGACATTGGAAAGGCCCTGCCCTTCTGTGAACACTTAAAGGAAGGAAGTACACTGATAAATATTATGCTCATAAGACCATCCTGTTCCCACCTATCCCTCCCTACGTGCAGATAACGCACTGGTACAATGTGAACCGCATGCAGCTTCATTCCCACCTTAAATGATTCACATCTGTAACCTTTGCTTATCTGCCAACTGGAAACAGAGTTTTATAACAACATGTTAACCTTATCAGTGCACAAGGCATGAAGAACCACTCTGCAGCCTGTGAGATGCACTCGCCACCAGTGACCCTTGCACTTTATATTTGCACTGAGCGGTGCGTTTAGCTTGGATGACACGGCACGGGGGGAAACGCAGCTGCACGCACATTTACATCAAGTCCTATTTTCTCCAAGTGGCCCCCCGTTTGTCTGTGAGTGAGTCAGCAAGCTCTGGGCACCTCTGCAGAGCATCGAGGAGGGTCAGAGGAAAACAGAGCAGCGTCTTTGACCAGGCACGCACACACACACCGAGCAAACAGGCCAGAAGTGAGAGGGGCAAGGCACTCCTCTGGGTGTGCGTGTTTTCTTGCCCTTGTTTTTAATGTCATTAGCTTGATTCAGGTGGGACGACGAGCCTAACTGAAGCAACTAACTTCTCTTATTCCTGCTGGAAGAGAGGAGGCATACAAACATGTAGAATATGATCTAAAAGCAGCAAAGATATGACATGACTAAAACTGACATGAATTTTTTTTAACACTCTGCACCCACAGGACATAAACAAACCTCTGCTGGTTTTATTATTTGTTGATGCTGACAAGTTTTGCGAGATACTTGTGCTATAATTTCAGAAAACCAGAATCAAAATCTGCATCTTCCATTAACTAAGATGTGCTTATTTGATTCTAATTTTTTACAACAGCCAATAAAGAGATTCCTCTTCTTTTGGTTTGACAGCCGGTCTTGTCCAGTGGTAAACAGACAGCGTCTTGATGTTTGGTGCTGAGGCTGTAGGACACAAGAGCTGTGTTAGCAAACTCCAGGAAAGCTGAAGGCTCTGAGCCACGTTCTCAGGAACACCGCCCAAAAAGATGTCCAATTTACTATTAACACAGCACATCCTTAAAATGGATTTTGAATGGAAGCCACGAGAGTCCACTGACTAAAGTAACAGTGCTAACAGCCATGCTAACAGTGCAAAAAGCCATGGGGGACTCATTGAATCTGTAAGTTTACGACCATTTTTAACGCTGCAATTTTTGCTGAGGATCACTCAAGATGAAGGTTCTCAGAGTAACGTGGATAACTTTACAAAGTACAAACCTAAACATTTATTTTATCATTTACACAATTTCAGTTCAAAGAGGAAGCAACATCCAAGAGCCTGCAACAAGTTTCTACTATAGGAAGTTACAGCCATTCTACCAGGACAAATGACACAATTTATGAATTACTGAGCTGACTCTGAACTAAAACTTTATAAAAACTACCAAATCCTGTATTCTTTCTTAAAATGAGCACATTTTTACTGTGCAGTTTATAGAATGTGATACTGCTTTACCAGTTGTATTTATTTTGTGCACTTGTTTAATGACTTGTGTTTTATATTTGTTTTATCTGCCGAAGGACAACAAATGAAATTTAGCAACTGAGCAAATGAAGGCACGTTTATATTCAGTGAAATACAGAAATACTGGATAATGTGCCTTGCATGTCCCCTGAAAAGAAATGCTCTTAAATTGGCAGCATTAATTATTGTTAAGAAACCCCATTTTTGACATTGGAAAATGAATTCAGAATTTTTCATGCATAAAGATTTATATGGCTCACCCCTACGAGACATCCTCTTGAGAACACCAAGTTTATGTATTTTTTATTGATAGGTGAAAGTAGCAGTAAAAGTAAGTTGTACAGTTCAGAAAAAAAATATATATATATATTTTTTGCAATAATGTTGAGAATCTGTTTGCATTTAGTTAAAACAACAGAACCAAAACTAAATAAAATAAATATGCATCCAAGCTAAAAATGGCTAAGAAATCGAGAAGTCTTCTTTCAGCTCCATTCACCACAGCCAACTAAGTTGCACGAAGACTTGGCAATTGTTTTTAAACCTGGCTGATGCCCTTCCTGACACAACCACAGACCACCGAGCTACCACAGCCCTCTGTGCGGAGCAGAGAGCTGCCATCTAGGGTGCCCGGGGGAGCAGATGGTGGGGGTTAAGGCCTTGCTCAAGGGCCCAGAGTGGGGCAAATGAAGGTGGAAGCTGGTGTGGGTGCTTCACCTTTCCCACCTACATTTTTTGATGTTGTCGGTCCGTAGACAAACTGGAGACCTTCTGATCACAGGCTCGCCTTCACTTACCTCTGCGCCACCGCTCCCCCATTATGAAATAGAGAAAAGTAAGACAATAAAATCCCTCTTTTCTCAAAAACAGAGGAAAAAAAAACATTGCTAAAATAAAAATGTGAACATTTTTCATCTCCTCAAGTTTATTCATTCTAATGGTATATTTCTGCTCACTGGCTGTATTGAGGGCTGCTCTCTTGGTATGAAAAAATTACACTCTCTTGCAAATCACCACTGGGGTTTTTCAGGAACTCTGATGCAATTTCTGGCACCTCTGTGCATGCCACCACTTCGCTCTGCTGGCAATCTTTACCACCAGTCGCCTCTCATTTAAAGCAGGACGCCCAGAAGACGGTGAGACGAGGAGGGGGAGATTTAATATTCCATGTTTGAAGCACGCCTTATCTTTGTCCCTTCTGGTGGACATGAAACCAACATTTGATTATAAACCAGAGGGTTTCTGAGTGGAGAAGAGCTCACAAAACCCCAAAAAATAAAAAGCATTTTCAAGAAATAGCCATTTATTTTTTCCATCCATTTTCTTTACTTGCTTTTCCTTTACAGGTCACGGGTCGCTGGTGCCTACATCCAGTAGTTCCTGCAGGAGAGGCAACATACGCCCTGGACTGCTCGTAAGTAGGCCAGTCACAATAACAAATTTTGCTGGGCGATTAATTGTCTCAGAAATTATTGCAGTAAACGATAATATTGTTTGTTTGATAATAACTAGTAATTATTGTCAAATTTTAGAAAAAATGTTGGTTAATTTGTTTTGAGTGTAGTGCCCTTTTTGACCTGTAGATGGCAGTATAAGACTGTTTGAACCAAAGGATGGATAGTGAGGGAGCCAGCAGTGAGTCTCTTTAAGAAAAATGGGAAGGAGGCCCCTTGACGTGACATGAGCTGACATGGTGACATGGCGGACGCTCGGTGTGGTTTGACTCTTTAGCATAGCATTTTTCACACAACGCTTTTAATAAAAAAATCAGCAAGTTCTCAGCTTCGTTTTTGCAGAGAAAAACAATTTTTTACACAAAGGCACGGGTTTCAACTGTGAATTTTGAAGCTTCGACAAGACAGAGGTTTTTTTTCCCCGAGGTCGGCCTGTTAGCTTAGCTTGTAGCTTAGCTTCTCAGCTTAGCTGTTTTAATGATCCAAAAACGTGATTTTGGATCATTAAAACAGATTTTAAAGAGAAAAGAGGGGGTCAGTGAAGAGCACCAGAGTTGAGCTTTTTGTCATCCAGTGTCTTCAGTAGAAAGAGAGAGACACGAAGGAACGATAAAGCCGATAAATGAAAAATAGGTTGATAATTTTCATTTATCATGTGATAAACTGATTTACTGTTTATCGCGACAGGCCTACTCACAAGTCAATCACAGGGACACATATAGACAAACGAGGCAGACAACCTTCACGCTTTCACACCTAGGCACAATTTAGTTACTAATCAACCTAACATGCATGCTTTTGGTCTGTAAGCAGAAACTGGAGTGCCCAGAAAAAAACAACAACGTATGCACCGGGAGAACATACAAACCGGGAGGCGACCATGCAGCTTTTTGGCTGTGAGGCAACAGCTCTAACTGTGCCTGTCAAAGTTACTTTTTGAGACTTAGAAATCTCGGGAACAACAAAAAATATACTTTGCCACTTTTCAAAAAGCAACGCATCAATACATAGAACCAACCCAGAAGACCAGAGAAGCTGCTGAAGGTTAAGCTGATGTGTTTGGGCATTGCAGTTACCTGTTTGGTTTTTGGTTCCAGCGTCCATGCCCACGCTGCCGTTCTCTTGCTGGGCTGACAGGGTCTTCAGGATAACGTGGGAGGCCCCGAGACGAGGCAACGTGACATGGGTTAGGTGGGGCAGCGAGTGCTTCTTGGCAAACAGCTGGCTGGTTTCTCGCCTCTTCCTTAGGAAGCCGCCCTCGGGGAAGAGCACTATCCACTTCCTGTCACGGCTGTGGTAGTATTTCTCTAGGTGCTCTTTCAAGTAGATCAGCTGCTTGTCTCTGTGAGCTTTACCCTTAAAAGAAAAAAACAGCAGATTATACAGCATGCATAACAAATACAGCATAACATGCTATATTTAACAATAACAGCCACAACAACAACATTTTAAGTTTAGTTGGAATCTGTAACAAATTAAAGGCCCAGCATTCAGTGAAGGAATGCATATCATCATCCACCACCTTTCATGCCAAAGTTTTAAGCTAAGCTTATTTTGTATTTGTAAAAGCTTAAAAAAAACCTAGCACTAAAAATAATTTGTACAAAATATTTTACAAGCTCAAAATCTTAAAAGGCAATTATTGAGCCCATAGTGTAGAAAAACAAAACCAAAGGAATAAAAACAAAGCTAAGCCTTTGTTAGCTGCAGAGCAGAGTACTTAGAATCGCATCAATGGTTCGACAGAAGCGGATGCAAAATTCGATGGCCTTGACAACATTAGGAACATTAGCAAGGATGGGATGAGGAGGAGCAGTATTGATCTTTGGTTAAGCCTGATCAGAAGTAATATTAAATATGTTAGCGTGTTGTTAACTGCGCTCATCAGTGGAACTGTATGCAAAACGACTGCCACATCACAACAGTTTGAGATGAAATTACCATTTGAATCTTTCTGCTCTGCAGAGACAACAGCACGAAGGAGCTCCCTCTTAAAGCTGTAAACAACATTAGGACCGCAGCTACAAACCGTCTACATGAACTAAAGAAAAGTGTACGCTACACCATTGTTTTTCACACAAGAAGTACAGTAAGTCCAGTTCTTTTCTTATGCAGCCCCTGTAGATAATATATATTTCACATTAATAAACAGTGTTTAGTTTGCAGTCAGGATCTGATGCAGCTAATTAGCTGTTTTTCTTCAATGTTAAGCCAACTGTCTCTTAAGTGCTCGAGCAGCTCAGCCTAACCTCGTTTGTCTCTATGTGTCCCTGTGATGAAATGATGACCTGTCCAGGGTGTACCCCATCTCGCACAGTGACTGCTGGATATGGGCACCAGTGACCTCCGCAACCCATAAAGGAGGAAGCGGATAAAGAAGATGGATAAAGATGATGGATGGATGGTTATACTCCACGGATTGGCAGGATGAAGTTTACAGACTGTTCTGTTGTTAAATGGTATTCATCTAAAAACAGACGTTTTTCCAAACATGAGGGTGTTTCAGCTACTAACACAACTAATTTATGCTCAAAACCTGTAAAGTCGTCTGTGAAGCGTTTACTCTTGTAATTAAGGTCAGTTGGCTGTGGCGGTCGTCTTGAATGTGATTGGCTCCAACTGTTCATCAGCTGTAGAAGAACATCCAGAGTATTTCCTGAAGGTTTTGTTAAAATGTGTCTATCAGTGCATTAGATATTTGATTTAACAACAGGCAGAGTTGACTCAAAATGATTAATGGCCAAAAAAATTAAACATAAATTATATAGAAATCTGTTAAGGCTTAGGGCTATTCAACTAATTGCTCAGGGGGGCACAGTTACTGAAAGCCCAAAGTGTAGGGGCCAGAAATCCAGCAGTTACTGTCATTAAGTACCTAAGCTTGTGTTACAGTTTAAAATCTAGTTTTATTTAAAAATGAACACGTTGGTGGGCTGAACTGAGCTCACCAGTGGGCCTGATTCAACCCCCGGGTCACCAGTTGAATAGCCCTGGCTTAGAATATGTGATGGGGATCACACTCAGTTACTACCACTTCCAATCTTAGTTCAATATCTGTAAAATCAACTGTTATAGTAATTTTTGTGAAGTTTTTAAGGCTAGTTGGCTGTGATGGCCATCTTGAATCGAGCTGACTCTAGAGCTAATCAGCTATATATCCAATAAATGAGTTCACTAAAATTCTTCCAGTGGTTCGTGAGGATGTTTTTGGCTACAGACACACAAAAAAACACGCAGACAGGAAAAAACATCACCGTCAGTCTTTTGTCTTTTGACTGCAGGTAATAAATACCTGTGAGGAAACGTAGCAGACTTTAAACGGCATCTTATCTAAACTTCAAAAATGATGACAAAGGTTTCACTCACGCGTTAGTTTTTCTGTTAGTTTGTACGGTGAGGCTGACAAACTGGCAGCATGTAATCATAAATTAGTTGCTTCTTGTAGTGGCACAAGCTCCTAGCTGGAGTGCTAATTATTGTAAACAAGCAAAGGATTTATGACATGAAAGGCCATGAATTTTCCTGATTGTAAACGTACACAACATGCACACATTTTATTTGCACAACTACATTTATAGTCTTTATGATGTACATATTTATAAGCTAGCCCTGGAAGAAGCACTGTCAGCATTTGCTTTTTCTTTTTCTCATATTAGCTAGAAGCTATTTTGTTACTTTATTATGAATATTTTGACATCAGGGATGCTAAAAATGAAAATGAAAGGTATTGTGTGTGTGTATATCCCTATGTTCCAGCTCATGAATTTCTAACTGTAATAAGATGCGTTTGCAGTTGTGGAAAACTCCAAATTTAAATATTGTTTCCTTAGAGACATTTATTGAGTTTCTTTCTATGTACATTGATTGCTCCAGGAGTGTGTAGTTGTATTTAGTCCCTAACAGGGTGGCCGAACTTTAAGAGTAAAATGTAAATTGTGAATTAGGCTTTTATTTATTTATTTAACCTTTATCTATACAGGTAGTCTCACTGAGTCCCAAGGACTCATTTTCAAGAGAGACCTGTGTTTTAGACAGATAATCACAAACAACAATAAAAAAGCAATTAAAATAAAAAGTGTTATAAAAACACTGTTACTGTAGCAACATTGTCCTGTAAGTAGCATGGTACTGTTAGCAGCATGTTACTGTTAGCAGTGTGGCCTGTTAGCAGCATGTTACTGTTAGCAGCATGGCCTGTTAGCAGC